GACGGCCTAATTATTGGCGACTGTGCATTCGAGTCTGCCCTATGGACGAATAGTGTGTCTCTGTGGTCGTCAGTAGGACTCGTTCGGCGTATTCGTGCCGTTATTCGCGGTGTTTACAAAGCCGATGCACTCCTACGGGCGTACAATATCTCGTTGACCGGCGAAGACGAGGATTCTCAGGACGCAGCTCTGAATTTCATCAACGACGCGTGTTTTGCCTGGCCAGCCGACAAAGTAGCACGAGGCACCCAAGGGCACGTATATCGCTATACCTTCGACCAGGAGAGTCCCTACACGTACACAGCACACCACGCCGTCGACCTTTTGTACCTGTTCGACAACGCCCCAGCGCACATTCCCGCCCGTAAGGCGCATCCATTTGACAGTTCAGAATCAGACCTGGGCGATTCCGACTCGGACGGCTTCGACTCGGACTATTTCGGCAGCTCCGACTTTGCATATAATGCCACTCGGGTTTGTCGAGCCATGCAGGAGCGGTGGATTGCTTTCGCGCACGGGGAGCATCCGTGGTCGCCGGAGAAATTGTATGTTTTCGGGCCCGAAGGCGAAATCGGGGAGAGGCATTTGGAGGATGAGTTGAGTGTCCGTCGGAGGTTGTGTGAGTGGCGACAGACACTTGAAATGCTTCCCCCGGAGCTAGTGCACAAGCTAGCCATTGAACTCAGCAATGGACCGCGAGTATCTCCGAGATCACACGTTTAAGAACATTGATTGTTGATTGTGTTTATTTTCATTGGGAATCTACTTTTCATCATGTGACGCCATGCATTCGGCATTGTATTGTATTGTCATTGGTTAATATGTTGACACTTGGGTGGTTTAAAAATCACTAGTTTGCATACACGTATTACGAGGGCCTTTTTTGACGTTCAGCTGATTATTCACCTCATCATTATATCGCTACGTAACCTTTTAAGACTCTCACTCAAACAGTATCTACTATGTAGTAGCTAGTTAATATACTCGACGCGATCAAATCAATTCCTCTTGGAAGCCCAAATAATTTGTAATAACATAGGAGAAGTAGGGCGGCCATCTCTTAAGTCATAGGGCATATTAGTTAGTAAGCCATCAACTTGTCTTAAATATATAGCTGAGGATAGCCAATGGACAATGTAGACGATGTACGTAGTGCTCACAAGTTCAATACCAGTCCCCGACGTTGGTATTGTATTGTATTTTAACATCTTGATCCTCGAAGAGTTTGTCAGAAAGTCAAATTCACTGGATCCTTCTAATGACAGCCAGCTCTTGTCTGGTTCAGGTCGTCACTCCTCAGAGTCTCAGACCATCTCAGCTCGTTGGCACCACAACGAGGATATAAATATCGCATCAATATGCATACAGCTGGGGACCTTTCTGTTATATATTTTTTATCCCTATTTCTTTTGCACTCGTTTCCCACACTTCTCTTATATTGGGCATACACCTGCATGTGACTATCAACCCCTCACGATTAACATAGAATGTGCTTACTGTGAGAATATTTGGGCGCTACTAGTCTTCTTCAGGTACAGCCACAAAGCCGCAGAAGGCCGAAAGAAGGCCTTTTTGTTCTCTTGTTTGCTTTGCGTATGAAACACCCTAACATGTCCTATGTATTGTCACTTTTCTAACCACACTTTCTTTTGTTACTAGATAGCTGAAATACTACACACCGGGGTAACCACCCTCTCCAAAAAAATTTAGGACGTTTAGTAGAGCCCTATGTTATATAAACTCCAACAATCATCCATTGAATCGTTATAAGAGTTGAAATTGGCAAGGGATCTTTTGAGGACCAAAAGTTCGTTGAATTCTAAACCATGTTAGATCCTTAACCGATTTTAATTCGGTTATGGATCTTTATGGATCCAAAAGTTTTGCGGAGTTTATATAAGCCTCTACTGAGCGTCCTAATAATTAGGCTTTTCCCGGTGTACAAGCCGTCCTAGTTAGCTCAGCACAGCTATTTGGCATTTACGGTGCAAATACTAGTACTGAGGTGAGATACTTGCTCTTGAACTTTATTTAGTTATTATCTTTTTATTTAGATAAATTAATAATACCAGCTATTTGGCATTCACCGTGCAAATGCTGAGTTATTATCTTGTATCTAGCACTCTTATTCTCACACATACACCCACATATGGCAGGTTTATAGACAATTGTATCGATAACATCTTTCAATTTTTTCAACCAGACCAAACCAATCGGGACTTGACATGCTGCATACCGCCTTTTCTGTGTTTGCTCATATGGTATAAATGATATCTGGTTCACACGGCCGGTTGTTTTGTTATGATTGATTGCGCTGAATATAATTATAGGGCAAACTTCAGAGTGTTGTACCTCGTGCATGCAGTTTTGAGTTCGCTAATCGCTCATCACAATTAGCATGTCCACTATTGATACTTCCTAACCACCAATTGAAGAAGAATGTTCATGAGTACAAATATTCAGTCTACGATCGAGCGAATAAATCTGGTCTGTGGGATGTGTGGAGGCGTATTGTCGCCGGTTGCATTTCATCGACGGGAAGCGTTTCCAGAGAGACCACTTCCGTTCAATATGATTCCCTATAATCTCTCAGGAGGATTTTACTCCTGTTCCCCTCATCTTGTACCCCATCCTGTGCGGTGCGTGTTTAGAGAGCAGCCCTGGGGGGGTAGTGCTCATAAGAGTGCTGGTAAAGCTCTCTAAAGTTGTCAACTCACATAGTATCTGGGCCTTCAAAATTTGCAATTCAGATATATAAAAAACGGGCACTTGAACGAGCACGAGAGCTAGCAATTTCTTCTGTAGCTGTTGCAGCTGATTTTGCAGCGAAGCTATTTCACCTGATCCACCAGGAAGACTTGGAGGCTGTCCAGAGATCCAGAAAATGTCAATAAGAGACTCGTGATTCAAATTTAGATACTCACTACGGATGGCACGGGTGTATCTAATGGGGCTTTGTAGTATGGGCTCGTGCAATCTTTCGGTATAGGATGCACAGATGCACCGGTAACTCCGCATGGGACCTGCATCGGGGATTTAGGTATCGCAAAGATGGGTATGGTAATGCTAATTAGGAGGAATAACTCCAAGAAAATCATCGCTTATATGCCGTATCGAGGGTGTTAAAGTGAAGTGAACGGCATGGCTTAGTGCTTTATATCTTGAACCCGCGCAAGTGCTCTGATACCATGTTTGTCATGGAAGGAGTATTTCTTAGCCCATTAACCACATAAGGAATTTTGCGAAGTATCCGAGTGCTGCATGATTTAGTATGGGCCGGCCCCAATGTGAGAATTGTATTAGTATACCCAGAAACAAACGGGATCGGCCTCCCTTTGTCGCAATGTCAATATAAATTTGCTTTCCATTGCAGCACTGTGCATGTGGGGTTAATATCAGCAGATGCATTGTTCACTAGCGCGACATGGCCAGACTCGACAGCTGGTTGCGCGCCCTTATGTGCATCTGTCCGTTGTGGTTCCAAAATTTGTTGAGTATGGCGCTGTTCACTTAGTCACCACTACTCACGACATTTTGGGGACCGTAGTCAATGTTCAAGCACCTTTCTAAATATATATACAATGATGTGATCTATTGTAGTTTAAGTTTCGCATATTAGAACAGATTGGATGTCGGACTCTAACTGGTTAGGTTTTGAATATTGAGGATATATGGAGGTACGTCAGCCAGGTTTGCACCGCTATAGTTATCTATGGCAGCCAGGTGTTCAATAGATGATGTAGTCTGTAAGCCTAGTGGCTTACGACATGCCGATTACCACAGACGCGCATAGTACTATTTCAGACAGATCATTTTACTTACCGTCATCATCGTATGTGGTACTCGCCGTTCTTGAGGAATACAGCTTGGTCCTATCAACGTCTGGACCGATGCCAATGCAAGGCTGCATTAGACAACAGCCTTTCATAGTTGAAGGCAGCTAAAGCTTCGAATAATGGGGCAGATTGGATTTCTGACCTTAAACGGTTACATGTTGAATATTGAACACCTGTTCTTCACGGTATGTCCATCTGGCCGACGGATCAAATCGATGTAGATTTTCGTGCTTAGGGGACGGCTGGAAATGAGGAGCGAGTACAGGATCGTCATATACTGACTCCTGAAATAAATCCTATAAGTGGAGCTATCCATGCATGTTGCAGGTTTGTATACCTCCGTAGCAATGGCGTCCAGATCCACCGGATTAAGCTCGTGCCTTCTAAACAACACATCGATAAATCTTGGCACCCCCTTCGTCAAAGGAGCAAGGTCTGTCTTCCCTACGATCTCGATGGTCTTGACGAAGGACCTCCCCCTCTGTATGGACGCAGGCGTGGTCGTGGTCGGGGAGTCGTCACGGTCCTCTAGGACTGTTACTGAAGGTGAAGGCATCTGTTTTGACCGTAGGGGTAGGGGTAATCACAGACCAGATGACAGAACGAAAATGGAGGCAAACGCTTCGTATTATAGTGATCATTAGCTATATCGTATTTTAGGAGGGGAATTTAATGGCAAAAAGATAGAAGCACCGTACCATCTTCTTTCCAAGTGGCGCTATAGTTGACAGCTAGAACGACGGGTAAGCCTGAACCGCAATGTGAAGTTGATATCATCAGCAAATGAGAGTCACATGAAGTCAGGGTGCAACGGCTGGAGAAGACTGTAATTCGATGTGAGATGGTGTGACATGTGACATCATATGGACGAAGATCTGCTCGGCTAATGTTATCTAAAGCAACCGGATGTTCGGGTGTGAATAGCCAAATACGGTGATATTGTCTTATCGAGTGCGAGCTGCTAATAAATTATTTTCTTTTGATGAGATAGCCCCATCTAGCATTGTATTTTATTTCCAGAATATCTGCCTTCAATAGAAGTCCTCTTGAAGGCTTTGACACTCGTATCCATGTCTGTATCTAACTCCCAAGGAGCTCTTTGTGAAGCCAAAGTTGTCACTAGGACAGCTTCCCTCCAAATTCATATATGTAAGAAAAAAAGGTTGACACCAGCTGGATTTGCACCAGTACCTTTTGGTCACTAGCCCTATCACTCTAAACCACTAAGCTATAGTGCCTCTACTGTTTCACTATACAGTTAGGTTATATGCTTAACTGATTTTAAAGACACCCACTATTGTGGGGGCACATGGATTTCCAAGCTGTATTCAACACTTCACTCCCACTCTCTGATGATTTGGAGGGCCTTTTACAGCACATTAGGGCACTAATGTCCATGACCAAGACTATGCTACAGCATACACTTGCTTGCATACTGTCTACCACTGGTTGCAAAATTTATCCCAGTCCCTGCTCCTGCTTCAGTTGGTATCTAGGCCACCATGGCTATGGATCTGTCAGTGTGTCTATTTTGCAAGGACCCTACTAAAATCCATGGGACTTGGCATTGTCCTATTGGTTACATGCCAGTAAAGTGACTGTTGTTGGTTTCTGGAGATGGCCAAAGGTCAACCATTGCCAAACCACCCTTGGGGCCTGAAGTTAATCATCAACCAGGAACAAGGTTCTATTTGGCAATCCATTCACTTTGTCAGTTCAACATTCTATGCTATTTTTTCAAGTATCCCCAGCGAAGCAGTCCCCCTCAGGTTGTGGTTGTTTGCAATTCTGTAAAACCTTCTGGTTGCACTTGAAGTTTCAGTATTTCATGTTAAGATCTAGCAAAGGGGGGCAAAAGGGATGATTTTCAGTGGGTCCCAAAAAGGTGAATTGTACTAGTTGGGAGGTCCAACTCTACAAGGCAAAGTGGAGCTTGGCTTCAATGTATGTATTGCACCCTCACATGAACTGTTAGGGTGCTCTGGGATTTCAAACAGAGTGGATAGTATGATAAGGACTAAAGACAACACTTAGCTCAATTCTCCTTTTGCTTTTCTAGGTATCTCTGGCCCCCCATCCTATATCTCAAGACACTTACACCTCTGTCTACGATCCACTTCAGTGACACTTTGCATATGGGGATGAGAGTAGAAGAACACTGATAAGGGTCCCCTTCATTGGCCTCTGGTTCAAAGTGGTGGGGATGCCCTGTCAATACAAGAAGATAGGCCAGCTGCTCTAGAGGAGGCCAATTATGCAATACAGTTTCATATGCTACAGTATCAGAATTCCCTGTTCACCATCCCACAGAGTCAGGTGTGAATCAGGATTCAATTGTGCCATTTACAACTGCATTCCTTGACACTGACATATTATTATTGGTTGTAATGGGCCTGGTGAGCTCAGGATCAATATTGTGGTCCTCATTGCCACTTGACATATCTTGATCAGTCTTCTGAGTTGGGACCTTGCTGTGACTGCACAGTATAAAATATGTGGCTATCGCACAGAGTCAGAACAAGAGATGGCATCAAAATAGAATATTGACCTACATTATAATGCAGAGAAAACATCAAAGACAGCCACAGCTGATGAGCATGTTGCAAAGGAGTCCACCATGAGGTTGGGGAGGAGGACTAGCAAGTGTGAATGTTAGTAACACTGTGGTTGGTGATAGTGTGGTTGGTGATAGTGTGGTTGGTGATAGTGTGGTTGGTGATAGTGTGGTTGGTGATAGTGTGGTTGGTGATAGTGTGGTTGGTGATAGTGTGGTTGGTGATAGTGTGGTTGGTGACAGTGTGGTTGGTGACAGTGTGGTCAGGGGTACTGATGGCAGGATGGTGGAGGGTGGGGAAGTGTTAAGAACTGAAAACTGACTAATGTCAGTAGGCTGACAGGGACTGATTGGAAGGACTTGGCTTCAGCTTATGTGCTGCACCCTTGCAAGTAACCATCAGGTGTCCTTAAATTTCGGGTAGGCGAAGACTAGTCCTAATGAGTTCCTCATGGTGAGTTACTGATTGGAACTGAAGGATAAGTCGTGTGTCAGGCCGAGGGGTCGGAGGCCGAAGAGAAGGCGAGTGCATGCAGGTGGGGAGTGGGATACTTAGTGTAAGGCTTATGTATAGAGATGTATGTGGGTGTTCTGAGTCGATATTCTGATTGTCTAGTATCTACAACTACAGCGGATTCATATACAAATTATTGGTGTCTAGAAAATACTAACTAAGGGAAGAGCAGAAACATTACTGACAAATAAAACTTGACTAGGAACTGGAAGGTTACAATAAGTTCGGAGGCTGTGATTTAACTGAGAGCAGAATTACGAGAAAAGGAAATAGTCCACAGGTTACAAGTATATATGGGCATATGTGAAACATAGTGTAGAACAGATCATCATAATAAAAAGGGATGTATCAGAGTATAACTAGATAGTATGAGTATAATTTGATGGGGGCGTAAATGGGGTTTGATCGCCATGAAAGCATACATCAGTGTTGGGTGACCAACAGTTTCTGATGTGATGACTTGATCAATAACTTGAAATGTCGATAGGTGGCAATAACCTCAGGGGACTGTCGGGTTGTGACATGGTTGCGACACGGTCGTAACAGGAAGTTACAACAAGGTTGTGGGGGGCTGAATGACTGGGATCCTAACACCCATGACTCTTAGCATTTCAGCCCTCCAGTTGACTGAGCTAAGTGTTGTCTTTAGTTCATATTGTACTATCTGTTAGTAATCAAGTCTTCGCATAAACTGAAATCGGAATCGAACCTATAATGATGAGTATATGTGCATATATGCGCATATATTGAAGTACCGTTAAAGGGGGAATAACTCCTAATTGCAAATTTCTCCTTAATGATGCAATCGACTAGAAACTTCAAGTATCAAAATTTTCCCCTATTTACTCCCCTAATAACTCTCCTAAAATAATTAGAAAGTAGATAAAAAGTCGCGATATTTCACCATATACCTCAGTGAAGTTTACTCACTCACTCACTGAGGTATATGCGCAATCATTCATTATTATTCTATTACTTATTAAAATATCTTGTAGCTTCGCAAACAGGTACTATAATATATAGTGAAGTTTACTCACTCACTCACTGAGCTTCGCAAACAGACTCTACCCTTCCGAAATCTTGTCTACTACTTAACACTATCTACTCTGTTTGAAATACCAGAGCACCTTAACAATTTGTATGAGGGCACAACACATACATAAATTGAAGCCAAGCTCCACCAGTGTTATAGAGTTGGACCTCCTGACTAGTATGATCTCTATCATCAGCCCCCCAACATAGAGCCCCCCCCTGTGAAGAGTGTTGGAAGTTCTAACCGTTCTATATATGAAGAATATCGACCGTTTAGGTATGACACTAAGATGTATTGACTGTCTAAGTCTAATACAGACTGAACGCATATTGACTACTTAGCTCAATACAGTAGAGAGAAGTAGCTATCTAGAATAAGGTAGAGAGCTAGAACGAATAAGTAGAATCGACTGTTAAGTGCAATTCTGAACAACTGCTTGAGTGCAAAGTAGAGTAACTAGAGAGTCGAATAATAGAGTAGCGTGGATGTAGTCCATGCGGGTTGAGATAAGGATTGAGTTTCGACTGGTACAGTTTGAAACTCTGATTGAGTAGATAGCTAAAGCCCGTCTGTGACGGTCAAGACGATACACCAATCACAACTTACAGGACACTAACAGGTGTCTGGGTAAGTCGTGGTTGCGGTGTAAAAAGTGTCTGAGTTCTAAACTACGGGCACTAGAATACATAAGTCTGGTGTGTGTGCACCCACAAGAGTCGATGTACCGCATACATAGGTCATCGAACTAATTATAGATATATAATAAAAGAGAGAAAACAGAAATAATAAAGGAAATATAGTAAGAGCTCATCCGACTATATATTTCCTGAGTGTATTTCACCATACCTCTCACACCCCCCTTTCCCCTTTTTGTTTAGATCTTAACAGCTTCATCAACAGTAGTAGTCAGAAAATACTGACACAAATTGAATTTTTCTCAATAATAGTCAAATAATAATCGAAGATCTTCTGCTATACTGAGTACAGAATGCCTCATTTGACAAAGTATTGATTCATCCTGATGATAAAGTGTGAGGCAATAGTAAGATGTGAAGGCTCATGAATAGTGTGTCAAATAGTCATGATGATTATGTAATAAAATTATGAGACTTGATTAATAATACAGAGAACTATTATATAGATTTTTAGTGGAGATTTTCTGACTGCTTTCCTTTGCTCCTTTCTTGCCCTTTTTATGCTATTTATGTATCATTTTTATGATGATGATATGATATAAGAATGAAATCACCAATGATGTCAAACCAAGACAAGTTGAAGGTTAATCAAATATTGAGCTGAATAATGTTGAAAGATAGTCTCTCAATTATGCATACACCTGCAAAAGCAAAATAGTTGCATGTTGGGAAAAAGAAATTTGGCTTTGCACCCTATATGTTAAGATCTAAGCAAGGGGGGCAAAGGGGGATGATTTTGGAGGTCTGATTCTATAAGGCAAAGTGGAGCTTGGCTTCAACATACATGTATTGCACCTTTGCATGTACTGTTAGGGTGCTCTGGTATTTCAAACAGAGTGGATAGTATGATAAAGACTAAAGATGACACTTAGCTCAATTGACTGGAGGGCCAAAAATACTAAGAGTTGTAGAGTAAGGAGCACTTAAACAAGAGTAGGTTGAATTTCAAACTAAAGAACTGTAGCATACAGGAGAAAGACTTTATACTAAGTGTAATGGATGATTGGAAGGCTGATTAGAGAAGTGAGAGGTCATGATGGGTCAAAAGAAGTATGGAAAGGAACAAGGAACAAACTAGAACTAAATGTGATGTAACAAAAGTATTCTAAAAGGTATGAGGTGGCAATTAACATTTACATGTAGAACAGATGAAGGGAGAGCATTGGAATGGAGACGGAATGGAACACCTAAAGGGGTAAACTACAACACAACAGGTTTCAGGGTGCTGAGGAGGTGGTGCCATGTCCTGGGGCAGGTGCTGAAGGGTTACACAGGTAAGAACAAGTTGTGGGGGCTGAAAGACAGGGATCCCAACATAAACCAAGTATTGGGGTCCTGAGGCAGTGGCTCCATAGTCCAAGGCACTGATGTTGGGGTCCTGGAAGGGTGATCAAGGTAAGACCAAGTTGTGGGAGCCTGAAAGGGTGAGGATCCTAACACCA